TTTGTTTTACATTATTGCCAGTACAAATATTTTTTGTGCACGTATAAAAATAAAAATGACTCGTGTTCATTTATTTGGTAAAATGTGTATACAGCAATCAATAAATAAAAATATGCCAAGGTCAAAAGAACTTCCTGAAGATTTAAAAAAATCGCATAGTTGAAGCCTACCATAAGCTATGAAGACTATTTGGAGAGCAAGTCTCCACCATGCGATAAACTATTTATAAATTGAAGGCCTTTGGTATGATGGCATCACAATCAAGGAGTAACCGTCCGCCAAAAATAACTACAAGAACAAGTCGACATCTAGTTCGGCAAGCCCAGGAGAATCCTGATGTGACCTTTGCAGTTCTCCAAGAATTAGAGTGTATACGTCTACAGTGAAATCTGAACGATGCCGGTCTTCTTGGCAGAATGCCTACAAATAAGCCACGACTTATGAAAAACACAAACAATCTATGCTCGGCTATGTCAGAATTTATATTAATAAGTGTTGTAGAGTAGTTTTCACAGTGGAGGCTTGTATTTCTCTAAGTCGGTCCTAAATTAGGTTCGACGTACAAAACATTAGGAACTTGCAATAATAGTTAATGACGCAGCAATCTAGTTGTGGGGCTCATCCTTTAATGTCCGACATCGACTGACACACACAACTCACTGAGATTCCCTGGCGACTGCTACTACTACTACTTATCTGTGGGAGAGTCTATTTACAATAGAATAGGTACGTTCCGGTATAACAATAAGCTAGAAATGTTCTGGAAAAATGTCGAGACCAAACTAGAGCTTTTGTGGGAGAAACGATAGGCAGTATGTCTGGCAAGCTCTAAATACGACTTTTGAAGAGAAGAATTTAGTGCTAACAGTTAAATATGGCGGCGACACTATTATGATTTGAGGTTGCTTTGATGCAGCTGGAACAGGAAAAATAGTACGCATTGACGGCGCAATGGACTCTGTAAGATACCAAGCAATTTTGAACAACAATGTCTTGCGCTCAGTTTGAAAGTTAGGTTTAGGTCGGGGCTGGATCTTTAAACAGAACACTGATCCGAAACATAAAAGCAAATCAAAAAAAGAATGTGTTCGAAAACTGAAATTTCAAATCTTGAAGTGGCCTAGTGAAAGTCCTGATCTAAAGCCAAATGAAAATCTTTGGTACAAGTTAAAGAAGTCAGTACATGCAAAAACCCCAGGTAATATCGAGCAATTGTGGAAGTTTTGCCAAGAAGAATGGTCAACAATTGACGCTCACTACTGCCAAAAACTTCAACGTCAGGACCTCAAAAGGAGGAGTCACCGAAAATTAAATGTAAGGGTTCACTTACTTTTGCTCATCTTAACTTTTAATTTTTAATTAATATATTTATTCCAGCTGGATAAAAACTTTTGAAAGTGGTTGTAATTCGTTTAATAAAATTTTTTTCTCAATGAATATATAGCTTAAGATTTGTTGATTATCTGGAAGAAAGATACAATTTTTAAAAATTCTATCTTAGTGCTTAACTTACTTTTGCGCAGCACTATACAAGGTGATTGAAAAGTAACTCCCTATTTTATGTATGATGGACTCTCCCGTCTTTTAAAAATTATAGTTAGACGGGAGAGTCAATCATAGATAAAATAGGGTGTTAGTTTTCAATCACCATACTCAACACAGACAGACACACACACACACACACACACACACACACACACACACACATATATGTGTGTGTGTGTGTGTGTGTGTGTGTGTGTGTGTGTGTGTGTGTGTGTGTATGCGCGTGTGTATATGTATAGTGTTTCTCAAAAAAATTCTAGGAATTTGATAAGATTAATGAATTTGTTCTTAAGGTATCTTGCGATTGATTTACCAGATATTTTCTATACAGTGACGCACTAAATGTTATGGGGTAAGTGTCGGGTATCATGTAGGCTGCCCTGGAGCTTGCGAAGTGCCGTAATTCGAAGTGGCATTGATTTCACTAGTGGTCGAAAAATCTCAAGATAAATATTTAGCAAAGCGGTTTCGATATCTGTCTACAGCTCGCAGAAAATTTTAACTGCAGGATTTTACATGCGAATGGGTGCCTCCACCATGTCCCATAAATGCTAAATTGGGCTAATATGGAGCGAATATGCTAGCCACAATTTTCGTCGGAAATCTCCAGGAAGCTGTTCAAACAGACATTGGAATATTTGTTCCAGTAACACTGTGCTATTATCCTGCTATAATAATTCTTTGGGTTACACAGAGTCCATAAAAAGGTGACAATACTCACGAAGCAGTAGAGCATGACTGTTATCCGTCAATGACATGTTTTAGAGTATCGCAAACTATTCTGCGTGGACATAAAAAAATATTTCTCCGAACTCTACTATCAGCCGGAATCAAGCGGAACGTGACTCATTGAACCATGCCAGCTGTTTTCAGTCCTATAGGTTCCAATTAGCGACATCACAAGAACAAGTAGGATTCTATGTCCGGTGTCGTGATGTTAACAGGGCCATCCATGTGGGACTTCTGCCTCGATATTCAATAGAAGCTGAGAAAAAAATAAAAACGCTGAATCAGCCTGCTGGATATTCATCTGGTTCCTTCCACATTAAATCTGAATGTTTCATTGTCGCTTGTCTATTACCACAGATAATTCTAACTAGTCACATCAGGAATTCCTAGTATACACAAGAAACTATTGATCAAGAGATGTCGTGTTTTCACAATGTCACATTCGTGTGGCACTTACTACCACGCGCCTTTCGAGTTCCGATAATTCATGTTGCCTTGCAATGAGCAGCCTTGCCGGTCGATATTTATACTGATTTACTAGATGTCAGAGCAGGGATGATATAGGTTTGGGTATGTGTATGATGACAGTACAGCTACCATTACTATTAGATATTGTCATGCGTTGAATTTTGGCACGTCAGCGTATTTCTCCGTCAGGAAATTAAAAAGTTCGTTTTTTATCAATTTTTTTTTTAACGCACCTTAAATTTCCATCAGATTATGTGTTGAAAATGTACACACGTTCGAATCAGGGCAGGATTCGTTTGTTAATGCTAGATAGCTGTTTGATTTTCCTTAACAAAAGAAACGTACAAAAAGACTCACCGTGTTCGTTGGTTTACACACACACACACACACACACACATATATATATATATAGCTAGCTAGATGGATAGATAGACAGAGAGTGAGTAAGAAAAAAGAAAGAAACTATATAGATACTAGTTAGATTTATCCATTCTTTCGCACCACATTCTTTAGCTTCTTCTTTTCCTCTTCATTGCCCCTCCTCCTAGCCATGTATCTGGTATTGCTCGTGTCATCGGCACCCACGTGCCCTCCACTACCCACCGATTATGTATTTAACGAGAGTCGGTCTCAATGTGGTCGGTCGCCGCTGCTGACCAACTCTCGCCCGTCTGCGGCGATTGGCCGAACCAAGGCGCTTGTCAATCCCGATAAGGCGATCGTCAAAAGCGATCAGTGTGGCAAGAGATTGTAATTGAAGATGCTATCGGGGCTGAAGGTGTAGAGCGAAACGGCGAAAAGATCGAGCAGCCAATCTTTACCTGATCGCATCAAAATGAATAGTTTTCGACCGGTGCGCATACTAATTAGGAAGAGAAGTGAAAGGGTTGGGCAGATAGAAAATGGAAAAGAAAGGGATGTTCAAGTCGTAGAAGAATGCGCCTGAGAGAGAGAGAGAGAGAGAGAGAGAGAGAGAGAGAGAGAGAGAGAGAGGGGGAGAGGGGGTGTAAAAGGAAGAAAGAAAGACTCTACTAAGAGGTAGAATGAATTAACGTGAACAAAGCAGGAAAATTTCAGATGATGAGATCAAGAAAGATAATGAGAGAGAAAGATAGAAAGAAAAGAAAGATAGATGTGAGTTACTGTGAGAGTAGATGATTGAAATAATTACGGGTGGAAGACAGTAAATCCGATGTGAGGCGACAGGAAAGCGGGTGTGAAGCAAGAAGTGAAAGAGGACATAAAAAAAGGTAAGAAATAAAAAATGGAGATTAAAAAATGATAAAGAGTTGTAGAGAAAGAGATGAATGAAACAAGGAAAAAAAAGATAAAGAAGAAAAGTGAGGAATAGAAAAAGTGAAAAAGAATGAGAAACAGTCGTAGAGAGTAAAACAAAGGAAATATTCCAACCGAACTTCGAAAAAATTATTGCAAATAAAACTGTTCTTTTAAGAACCAAAACAGAAGATAGTTATATTTTCTGTATGTAATTATCAAATAAAGATGATGAAAAAGAAAAAAGATACAGTGGGAATGATGTACTCAGAGAAAGAGTTGCAGGGGTGAAAGTAGGCGAAGTATTTGACGGGAAGGGGCGTTGTCTTCGAATCATTCTTTTGAGTGGATAGCGCGGTTTCGACCAGTGCAGTTAATTATCGGTCTCTGGCTGATGTGTGCGTGGGAATGGCTGAGTTTTGGTGATTATCTCAGCCGATATATCTGAGGCAGAGAAGGAGCGGCTATGGCTCGCTAATAAGATCAAGAATGGGAAGTTTTAGATATTGGCGAAGTTGACACTGATAGTAGGCCGGCATTTAGGGAAAGAAAAAAAGAAAAGAAAATGTTGCTCTACGTGAAGATAGAAAGACGGAAGGAAGAAGGGGAAGAATTATAGAAGGAATGAAAGAAGGAAGGAAGGAATGAAGTAAGGAAGGAAACTAAAATGCTAAATATTGGTATATAGAATGAATGGATGGATGATTAAATGAATGAACGAAGGAAGGAAGGAAAGAAAAGAAGGAAGGAAAGTGAGAAAAGTTTTTGCCAGGCTGGAAAGAAGGAAGAAAGAAAAAGATAATAAAGTTTAGAATATTTGCATGGAAAGAATAACGACAGAAGGGAGGAAAGGAAATTGCATCAATCATTGCATGTATATAAGGAAGGAACGAATGAATTAAAGAGGGAAGACATTTTGAAGTCTTTGCGTGACTAGAAGGAAGAAAGGTTGCTATAAAGTAAATCAGTAAATAAGTAAGTAATTAAGTAAAGAAGGAAGGAAGGAAGGAGTAAGGGGGAAGAAAGGAGTAAGGGGGGAGGAAGGAAATGAAAACGAAAAAAGGAGAAAAAGAATATTTTGTAAACTTTAAAGGAAGGAAGGAATGAAGGAAGAAAGGAAAAAAGGAAGAAAGGAAAGAAGGAAGGAAAGAAAATTCTTCAGACTTTGAAAGAAGGAAGGAAGAAGGGAAGGAGGAAGGAAGGAAGGAAATGAATACGAAAAAAGAGAAAAAGAATATTTTGTAAACTTTGAAGGAATGAAGGAATGAAGGAAATAAGGAAGGAAATAAAAACAGAAGAGGGGGGAAAAGAAAATTCTGCAGACCTTGAAAGAAGGAAGGAAGGAAATTAAAATGGAAAGAAGGAGGAAGAAGAAGAAGATGCTATCGACTTTGAATGAATGAATGAAGGAAGGGAGAAAGAAAGAAAGAAGAAAGGAATGAATGAATGAAGAAAAGTATGAAGGAAGAAATGTATGAAAGACGGAAGGAAGGAATGAAGGAAAGAAATTAAAACGGAACGAAGAAGGAAGAAGAATATGCTATCGACTTTGAATTACTGAATGAAAGAAGGAAGAAAGAAAGAAAGAAAGAAAGAAGGAATGAATGAATGAAGGAAGGAAATTAAAACGGAAAGAAGGTGGAAGAAGATGCTATCGATTTTGAATGAATGAATGAATGAATAAAGGAAGGAAGGAAGGAAGGAATGCAAGAATGAATGAAAGAAAAAAAGAATGAAGGAAAGAAAATAAATTTTAGCAGTCTTCGTGGATAGAAGAAGGGAAATCAGAGAAAGGAAATGGTGAAAAAAAAGAAGAAGAAATTCTTTACATGGAAGGAAGGGAAAAATGAGGGGCTATAATTAAGAACAGAAGGGCGGATAGAAAAGGAAATCTTGAAGACTTTGCTCCAAAGAAGGAAAATAAATTTAGTGCTGAAATGAAGACTTCTTCTACGTGTTAGGACGGGAGCGGCAATGGTCCTCCACAATTTTGTATCCTTCCTAGTTTCTGAGTTAGATTTGTCTTTTTTATGTCTCTCCTCTTCTCTATTCTGCTATCCCCTGTCCTTGAATATATCTTGTGAGTGTTAAATTTTCTAGACTTTCTTTTCTCATTATGTCACAATTTCAACTCTTTCTGATTTTATGTATAATTGACTCTTTTGTTTCCATGTTTCTTAAAATTTTCTCATTGTTCATAAGCTCTAACCATGAAATTCTCAGCATCCTTCTGTAGAACCTATTTCTGTTGCTTTTGGTCTTTTCTTCATCTGTGGGGAAATTGTCCAATATTCATTGACATATACCAGGATTGATATTCCATAACAGTTCAGAAAAACCTGTTCTGCCATCCATTTACACAAGCTAGTTAGGCAGGGGTTATATGCTGTTTTTCTCTATAACTCTTGCCTTCAATATATCCTGTGAGTGACAAATTTTCCAAACCACTTTCCTCATTATGTTCCCTTTCTATTGCTAAATATAAATGTTCTTTTTGTTTCCATTTCCACTAAAACTTCTCATATGTTCAATTCATAGTATTCTCAGCATCCTTCTGTAGAATCACATTTCTGCTGCTTCTAGTCTCTTCTTCATCTGTGAGGAGACTGTCTAGCATTCACTGCAGTATAGGAAGACCGATATTACGTAACAGTTCGGAACTGTTTTCTTTGTTTCTAACGAAATGTTTCTGTTTCTTAATACTTTGCTTAGCTTTTAGAAAGCATCTTTTACTATCCGAATGCGCCTTCGGATTTCAGTGTTGCACTTTTTACCCTACTTTGAGGAATTCATCCAAAAACATCTGAAAAAGTCGAACACGAATAAAAATTTACTGCAATTCTTCAACAGAATGGCAACTTTAAGGATTTCTTCGTCAACAACGGCAACAGCAAAAACATTTCCTGTTCAAAAAAGGCTAAAGATTGTATTTAGTTTTTCTTTCAAGAACAAGAAAATATATCATTTCGTCAGCAATCTAAAGCGTGAAATAGATTTGTTTTTACGGCTTATCAACCTTTTGTGGTGTATTTAAACCTAAACATATTTTGATTTGTAATATTAATAATATTTATTTATGATTCAATATTTCATTAAGAACTTTTGTGAATAACAAAGATATTTTAGATACACACTCGATGATTTAACGATTTGCCTCCAAAGATTCGCTAAAAGAATAAAAGAAGGGAAGATATGATAAAATAAATGACCAAAACTTAATAAAAAAAAATTATCGTCAAAAGAGGGAAGATGAAATGATATTTATGTCAAAAATTATTTTTAATCCCTTTTAGAACTCTTCGAAATTTTGGTTAAAATCTTATTTCTTGTGTGCCAACGTTGTCCCATCTATGGATATGGGCAATTTTAGCAGCTTTTTGCGGTGCAAAACAGACTGATTTAGAAATTCTTGCAAAAATAAGATAATTGTCGGATTTTAATAAACTTTCAGGACCTATTCACAAATGAATTAAATTATAAATGTTTTGTTTTTAGAAAATCTTGCTAAAAATATTTTTTTTACATTTGATAACTCTTACTTTTTTGTAGTGCTTAATGTTCATATTAGTTATAAGGACAAGTCCTCGGAGGATTTAAATCATGATTTTTTTTTGTCATACAGGAACTCCAATTAAAGAAAATCTATTCTGTATACTTTGAAAAAGATTTTGAATTTCTTTTATGTGTGTATAAACGTGCCTATTTTTATAAATACGCATATCCAAACGTGATATTATCAGAAAATAAGAGCGATAGCTATAGTAAAGTTAAGATTTAATGTTAAATTTGAACATTTCCTCAACAACCATCTTCGTAAATTAGAGTCAAAGTCTCTAAAATTCAATAAAATATTAGATTGCTTATAATATTTAAAATTTTTAAAGATTACTAGGTAGTTAATATATATATATATATATATATATTTGTATATTTAGGCAGCAATCCTTCCTTTATGCATGTTTCGTTAAAAACGACAGACAAGGTACTACAGTTATCCTCAAAAATAACAACACACCAACGAAGTCAAAATTACAAAGAACGAACATTATCTATGAGTTCAATGCCTTTTAAGGAACTGCGTTCCTCACCAAACCGGACTCATAAATAATTACATCGGCTACACAAACCACATGTTTATCCAGACGTCTTACATTACACCTATCTGATCACAGTTCCATCAGAACACATTTAAACACACACTCAGATTTACCCGACACTATTAGGAACATACTAGTAGAAAAAACACTAATATATTAACTGCATCCACTTGCAAAAAAAAAGACTAAAAATAATGGAAGCTCTAATAATAAAAAAAAGAAAAAGCCAACTCTTAACAATATCAACTATGAACAAAGCCACAATGTGCTAACCGTATTCGGAAACTAAAACATCACTACCACACACTGAACATACATAGAACACACTCTACTAAGCTGATAATTGAACCATCCTTGATAATGGCTAAAGGTATAGCCGAAAGCGCTCGGAAACACAGAACATTCGGACAGTTCTTACACACTCTTTGTCCAGAAAAAAAGCTCTTGTCAGAACACAAGAAAAATTAAATAAAAAGCTCAACTGTAGTACCTTGTCTGTCGTTTTTAACGAAACATGCATATATCTATATATATATATATATATATATATATATATATATATATATATATATATATGGGATTGCCACTTTTTACAGAATACGACCATCTCTTCTTATTTTTAAAATGAAGATTAGTTTGATCAGTAAGTATGAAAGGATCTTAAAACAATAAAAATAAAAAAGGATGAAATATTGTAAAAAATCACTCGCATTTGCAAACAATTCATAAAAGCCTATCTATTATTAAGTGGTAGAACACAGTTAAAAGAATATTAAGAAAGATATAAAAGAAGGAAAGTTAGTAAAATGATAAAAAGAATAACATCCAGTTAAAGCTTTAAAACAAAATACAGCCAGTTCTCATTTATAATAATGACTGTAACTTACAGTGCATTGTCACGTTCATGTGCACGCAAGAGGCTCTTTAACCATGCAGCACTCATACAAGATTACTTACATAAATAACAAATGAATGGCATAATGAGAATTTTGAAGGTTATTTTGTTTTGATGAAATCTAGTAGTTTGCCTCTTTAAACCAGCTGATGATTTGCAGATTTTGTGACAAAATTAACACAGGGCGCCAGTTGGTGTGGAAAATATGGTCTATATTATTGTGGCGATGGTATCTCGTGTGACTGGTTAAACCAGCTTTGGACAAGCAAATTCTGCTGTAAAAAGTACATTTATGCTGGGAGTCTAGAGGCAACAGATTAGCATCCCTTTTAATTGAGGCCCATTTCATGTTTGCATGTTCAACCCTTTTCTCTTCAAAACTGTTACAACTACCATAAACAAGTTTCCGCCAGTTCGACCCTTCATTTGCCTCCTCCTCCCAATTCTTTGTACTTATGTCAAGATTTTCAAGGTTGTTTTTAATGACATATTTAAAGCGCTTTTTTGGTTTCTGTTGGACGTTTGCAGATTGTCAATTTACCAAAGAACAACTGTTTTGGGAGGGGATTATCCTCCATCCTTATGATGTGACCAGCCTAGTGCATCTGGTTACGTGTTAGCATCTTTCAATACTAAACGCATTTGACCTTTCTAAAATTGCTGGGTCCGGCACAAATGATTGCCACTTAATATCCAGAATCCTCCGAAGGCACGTTTGATGAAAACGACCTAAGTTTTAATGTGTCGTCGGTAAGTGGTACATGTCTCTTAGGAGTGTATAGTAGAGCAGTTAAAATGCACGTCTCATACACACTTAACTTAGTTTTGACTGAAATACCTCTATCTGACTGTCATGGGTCCTTACCTATAACTACAGAATGAACTCTTCCTAACAATATGTATACTACGCCTCTCAAGAGAGAGGGTCGAGCAGAGAGAGGGTCTGAGCAGAGAGGAACCCGGACGAGGCTCCGCCGAAGAGCAGAGTCTAAACTCTGCCTTGTGCCACATGCAACCCTCGTGATAGGATAGATGCTGAATCGAGCCGAGCTTCTCGGCTTGACGGTCGAACTCTCTGCTCAGAGGCAGAGAGGAACCCAGACGAGGCTCCGCCGAAGGGCAGAGTCTCGTTCGGAGAGGTTGACCAACCCGATCCAGATTATACGGGTTCTACGGGCATTTTTGGCTGAGTTTACGGCCTGGAACCCACGTTAAACTCGGCTTTGTGCCACATGCAACCCTCGTGGGGGGGCTAGATACCGAATCGAGTCGAGCTAATAGTAGTTCACTCCAAACCAAACTGTCAGTCATACTAACACCTTCCTCATCTTGTATTATTATTTCGTGTAATATACCTTCGTTATTTCTACTCTTGTGTTCATGTTCTTCCTTGGTTCTAACCTGGACCATAACACTGACCATACGCGAAATTCTAACATTCCAAAAGTTTTACTTGCTTTTTGTACACGATGAGTTATTTCAGCATCAAGTGAGCCATCTCTTGAAAGAACACTGTCGAGATAAACAAAAGTATCAACAACTTCTAATCTATGTCCTTTAACAAAGATATCTGATTCACTATAATGCTGAGAGGAGGATGGTGTATACATGACCTTTATTCTCTTTAAGCTTATAGTAAGACCAAAAGACGAACATGCCTTAGAAAACAGGTCCATGACAGCTTGCATATCTTCCTTACTGTGAGACAACTGGTCAGCATCATCTGCATAGAGTAACATATATATATATATATATATATATATATATATATATATATGTGTGTGTGTGTGTGTGTGTGTGTGTGTAAAGGCGCTCATATATTCAGGTAATGTTTATAGTTATGTCCCACTTACGAAAAAAAACAAACATATGTCTATCTAAACAGTTGTCAACACCCCATAAAACACTAAACTCCTTGTTAAAAAATGATTTTCTTCCATATTTCAAACTGAAAGTAAATTTGTTCTAAATCAGATTAATTAAACTTTATATCAGTTAATCTTCCTCAAATAAGGTATTATTTTTTAAAGATTTTTTGATAAAGAGAATTATATTGTGTTCGCAGATGTGTCATAATGGACAATTTAAACATTTTTACTGGCAATAAAAACGCATTCCAATAAATTTATATTCAGTTTGAATTCAATGTATTTTTCTTATTGAAAATATTAAATTTAATTAATTAGCTTGAAATTACAACAAAAATAAAAGTTTCAAGAAATATTTTTCATTTTTAAAGATTTATTTTAAATATTAGGTATCGCTTTTCTTTGGCAATACTTATATTTAACTGGGAAAGGGGTTTTGATTCATACATTTTCCAAGGTTATTTGTGTGTAGGTGAATATAACAATCTCGACTGGAATTCGAACACAATCCTCAAATTTCTCATTCAAAGCTTTCCATTACACCACCCACACACCGGAAAACAATTGAGAAGTCCTACAAATATGAAGTGTGAAAATAAAATTGTCAATTAATTATTGTGTCCATCATTTAGATCAGCACTGATGATTTAAGGAAAAGATTGAAAAAAATGAAAATCTGAATTGAAAATCTTCAACCAACAGCATTAAATATTTCGGGAAGAATACTGAAGAGTGAATTGAAATTTGGAAGATGTATGTTATCATTTGATGTGCAGAGTAAAGTTACCAATTCCTACATAAACGAATTATAACCAATAATAATAATAAAAAAAAAACAATTCGGAATATTCAGAAGCGTGTCGATATTCATCCAACTTTCCAGACTTCTTTACTTTTCCTGCAGTTTTGGTGTCATACCCACTGATGGATTTCCTTTTCATTA